GAATAGAACAGATTTATTAATCGATTATGATTATATAGAGAATTACTTATACCATCACTGACGTATTGCGCGACATACAATGAATGAGAAAAAAAAACTTTTAGTACAAATTTTTTATTCATATTATTTTTAACGAAAGAAGTAAGTCATATGGGTATACGACCGAAGCGTGAATAATTGTTCTTGTATATGTAGAAGTAACTATGTATTTAAAATTTTGATTATAACTAAAGATATTTGTTGTACAGGACCGTAACTACTACAGTGTGAGAAAAGTTTTAATGACGTAGAATACCTTGATGCATGATAGTATCAAATTCGGTGTGTCTATATATCTCAATTTTATTCCAAGTATATTGAAATATTACTATTTTGTCTTTATATCGCGACAAGGACGTACACTGTCATTTTCGATCAATTAATTCATCAACAACTGTAGCAATATAAATATCTTGATTTTACAAAACTAGTACCTGAAAATGTTCTCATTGGGTTTTCAATCGAAGCAAATGCGTTCTACAGTACAACCATGATTGCAAAATAATCGAAGGCTACATCTTACTTTCTTGTTAGTAATATATATATATAATAGTTGTGTTCATTTCGATAAAAACTTATTTTATGTGAGTTCATATCAACTGAAATACTGAGTGCTGCACAAGAATATATTCATATATTCTTGTATTCTTAGTATAGATAGAAATCATCATGAGTTCTATCCCAGTAAGTAGTCAAAATGCAAATCCATTATTATATACACTTAGAAATTATAATGTTGGTATTCAACCATATTGGGTAATAATTACACAATTTTTCGTATTTGAAGTATCTCTACGTACTTGGGATAGAGTAGTATATGGAACATGGCAATTACCAATTGAATATGCAATTGAGGAGTTTGACGGCAAAAAGAAACCATTTGTAGGTGGTCGACCACCGAAAAGACGTCCGAATCCGGGTCCGGTTTCCCCTTCTAATGGTTATACTGTTTCAACTGTGTTCGTTGTCCAACCATGGTTTACTAAGAAAGCTCAAGTACCAACTGAAACAAAACCAAAACCAAAAGTACCAAAACTTGATTTATTTGATCTTGTTTTCTCCGTTTTACCACTACTTGGACATACTATATGGTTTTGTGTTATTCAATCATCATGTTTATCTGCTGACAGTGCTACTGTATGGACTTGTTATAATATATTTGGTTATAGATTATACAATTATATATTTGATCGATATGTTTCTTTTGCAAATAATTTCATTACCAAACTATATATAATGCGCAAATACAAGAAGTTTCGTCGAGAACATGGAATTGTACGCGAGAAAACATGGAAAACGACATTAAGACGCATTGTACAATCTATAACTCTTAGTATTTCATCAGTAACATTTGTATTCTCTGGAGCTCTATTACTTCCATATATGCTCACTAATGCTATTCCAATGATATTCGCTTATGCATTCTTAGTAGTCGTCTATACATATCTTGTTACAGTTGTTGTTTTCTTACATGAACGTTTCACATATGCCAAAGCATATATACGTAATCATCGAAAACCAATTTCTTCTAAATCATTATCAGATGAGATTTACAAAAAACGAAAGTTGGCTTTTAGTGCTGGTATGCGATTATTGCCAACACTAATAACATTCATATTCAATTTATCTCAATTTATATATTTTGGACAAGGTTATTGGCAATCACTTCAAGCTGACGCCGAATCAAGAGAACCTTCTGATTACAATTCTAGAGTTGCTCAATCACCAGATCAAATAGCTCATACAATATTATCTACTTTATAATATTATAATGGTTAATTATGGATGACAAAATTAAACGACGAATAGAAGAAAGAAAAATCTTAATCTATTCTTACTAATGACTTATTTTTATTCTATACTTTATTTAAATATTATAATACTGTTTTTTTTCTCTAATTTATTTCTCGTATTTCTATTCTTAAACTAATTTCAGTAGATTTTTTTTAAAATAATAATACTAACGACATAAATTTATTTAATAAAATACATGATATCAAAAAAAAATAGAAGCTATTTATCCCTTCTTGGTTGTCGTGAGATCTGCCTGGGCCCATCTACAGAAAATTATAAAAAGAGAATTTTCTTCTTCTTCCAGCTGTTCATTTGACTTATATAAAGAGGTGCACACCTTTACGTATAAAGACCAGTGAGTCAGACCTTATGGAAACAATGTAAAGATGTATGCTATTTCAAAAGAGTACTTTCTGTAATCAATTATATAGACATATTGATAATAGTTATAAAATGTATAAAATAAATCAATGTAGTCTAGATGACAGGATTCTACGCGTACGTGGATATATATATAATCAATTCTATGATTAAAAAAAGAAAGAAACTTTTCTTTTTGTTATTATAAAAAAAGTAATAAGACCTTAGTTTTTTATCACAACAATGATATTGTTCATATATAAAGCTTTTTTCATAAATTCAAAGCATACTCTAATTTTTTTCCATGCATGTTTGGACTAATATTTTTGATGCTTTCTGAGTGAATCTGATAACCTAATGAGAGCAGTGCAAGTTTCACCTTGGGTATTAAACAAACTTCTTAACTACGACGACGGTTTTGTACATCTGTTAAACTTTTACTCAATTCCTTTAAAAACTTACGTCGAATATCTGATTTTCGTTTTTCTTGTCATTTCACACAACTAAATAGTCATCAAGGGTGGGTGTGAGTGTGAGAAAAACAAGAGATGAGCCCACACTTACACTCACCCACTTATCAACATTTATTGTTCTCTTTTTTACAAACATAGATAAAACGAACAATAGAAATAAAACAGACATGATAGGAGAAGGAAGAATATGAATACATCGTTAATTGACAAAAAAACCTATATAATTAAAGAATAATATATTTTTATTCCATTGTGTCTTATCAAACTAAATATATAGTACGATTTGTTTTTCAAGTATTTTAATTTTTGAATAACTCGATTAGAAGAAATAATATGATTAAGATACGACTCTCTTATTAGCATAAAAGAGGCTTTGGTACATACATCGACGATAAGAATTATAATTTCTGTAGAGAGGCACGAGAATAGATCGAAAATGAGTATAACGGTTTTGATGAAAATATTAACAAGATGCACTACCTATATTAAATATAAGGTTTCAGAAAAAATTCATTCATTCTTTAAGCTATTGATCAGAAAAAATTAATCAATGATCATTTGAGAATATAAATCGTGATTGTTTCATACTCGTCGTATTGTATCGATGTATTCTTAAGAACTAGCAATATTTATTACTTCTACCATCATGGACGTATTGTGCGACATACAATGAATGAGAAAAAAAAATACTTTTAGTACAAATTTTTGATTCATATTAATTATAACGAAAGAAGTAAGTCATATGGGTATATGACCGAAGCGTGAATAATTGTTTTTGTATCTGTAGAAATAACTGTTTATTTAAAGTTTTGATTACAATTAAAGATATTTGTTGTTCATGCCTTGACTCATACACTAATAGAAAACCTTGCTGCATGATGGTATCAAATTCGGTGTGTCCAAATATTTCAATTTTATTCTAACCGTATTGAAATATTACTATTTTGTATTTATATTGATACAAGGACATACACTGTTATTTTCGATTAATTAATTCATCAACAACTGTAGTAATATAAATATCTTGATTTTACAAAACTAGTACTTGAAAATGTTATTGATGGGTTTTTGATCGAAGTAAACGCGTCCTGTATTACAGCAATGATTGCAGAATAGTCTCAGGATACATCTGATTTCTTTATTAACAATACATATATATAGTATAGTTGTATTTCTTTTGATAAAAACTTATTTTATGTGAGTTCATCTAGATGGAAATATTGACAGCTGCACAAGCCTATATTCATATAATCAAATATTTTTAGTTTAGATAACAATCGTCATGAGTTCTACTACAATAGACTATCAAAAGGCAAATCCATTATTATTTACATTTAGAGATTATCATACTAGTATTCAACCATATTGGATAATAGTTGCACAATTTCTTGTATTTGATTTTTCTCTACGCACTTGGGATAGAACAGTATATGGAACATGGCAATTACCAATCGAATATTTAATTGACGATCTCGACGGTGGTGAGCAACCATATATAGATATAGATATAGATCTTCCAGAACCCATATCATATCCACGTTATAATCCTCCTCCTCCTCCTCCTCCTCGTTCTACAAGTCTCTTCTTTTTTCAACCGTGGTTTCTTAAGAGATCTTCAACACCAAAAAAGAAAACAAAAGTAAAACCACCAAAACTTGATTTATTTGATCTTATTTTCGTCGTCATACCATTACTTGGACATACTATATGGTTTTGTGTTATTCAATCATCATGTTTATCTGCTGACAGTGCTACTATATGGAATTGTTATAATATATTTGGTTATAGATTATACAATTATATAATTGATCGTTACATTTCTTTTTCAAAGAATTTCATTTCCAAACTAATTATAATGCGCAAATACAAGAAGTTACATTCAAGAATGGAATCTGTGAAAAAGAGAACATGGCGAACGATATTATCACGTATTATAGAATATATAACTCTTAGTATTTCATCAGTAACACTTGTATTCTCTGGAGCTCTATTACTTCCATATATGCTCACCAATGCTATACCAATGATATTCGCTTATATATTCTTAGTAGTCATCTATTCATATCTTGTTACAGCTGGTGTTGTCTTATTTGAAGGTATCTCATATGGTATAAGATCTATACGTAATCGTCGAAAATCAAGGTCTTCTAAATCATTAACAGATACGATTTACAAAAAACGAAAGATAGCTCTTACCGTTGGTGCGACATTATTGCCAACACTAATGTCAATCTTGTTCAATTTATCTCAATATATATATTATGGACAAGGCTATTGGCAATCACTTATTAATGATGCCATTTCAAGAGATCCTGTAGATTACAATAATAGAATTGGACACTCACCATCTCAAATAGGTCATACAATATTAGCCTCTATATAATATTATAATGGTTAATTTTGAATAACAACGTTAAACGATAAATGGAAGAAAGAAACATAAAAATTTTAATCTATTCTTACTAATGACTTATTTTTATTCTATACTTCATTTAAATATTATAATACTATTTTTGTTCTCGAATTTATTTCTTGTATTTGTATTCTTGAACTAGTTTTAGTAGATTTTTCTTTTACATAATAATACCAATAACATAAATTCATTTAATAAAATACATTATATGAAAAAATAATAGAAGCTATAATTACAGAGATCGATTTCATCATATGATTTTTTTTTCAACTAATAATTCTAAAGAGGTTAAAATATATTGAATGCAAACTAGCATACATAATTGGTCACACAAAGTTCAATCTAATAATAGATCGTATATTGTTGATAAATGTTACGCTTTTCAAACAATCAATAATGACTTCAATGAAAAGAAATTGTCCATATATTAAATATTTGATTTTATGTTTATACAATAAGGACATCCTTTCTAAGTGTGTCACATAGTTTCAACTGTAAATATCAAAACATCGTTTACTGATCTACAATCGATAATTCAATATGGTTGCCATATTTTTGACACCGGTAAACTATTTTTGTAGTATTCTATACATATCATGTTTTTCTATTCAATATTGCTGTATTTTTCATGATCTGTAAGTAACACGTCTTTCAATTATCATTCTACGGTATCATATTGTTATAAAATACTCTTATAGAAGACAATACTAGTTTTGGTTTAATGATTCTAATAGGTAGTATAAAATTATATTTCAGCGATTTAGAGTTCTGCATGATCAAAATTTCATAAAAGTCATATGAAATTATAATACAATACCTCAAACTATCTGTCTTAAGGCTCCCCCCCCCGCGGGTCAAAAATCTATTTTTTTTACAGAGCACTCAATCTTATTGGAATTTCTACTGAATATTTATCTGACCATGGATAGTTTTCAGTAAAAAATTGAGCTCATAATATTGAGTTTTGCGAGAGTTACCCTAAAATTAAGGGCTAAAAAGTAGGTGTCCGTGCGGCAAAGATTTTTTTCGCAATTTTCATGATATGAACCTCGGCATGGTGTCAAAATGTACGAAACACTTGCCGCTATAACCTAATAGAGCCAGTTTTTTGAAAAAAGAACTTTTTTGTAAAAGGTTTTTGAAGAAAAAATGTCTTTTTGACCCGTGGGGGGCTTAATAGGAATAATTCTAGAAATAAACAATATTTTAATATGAAAAATATTGTTGTTGATGGTAATGATAACAGTCTCGACGTTTCCGCTAATTTCAATAGTCATTAACTAGAGTAATAATACCACCTCTACCTATTCCGGAAAGTTGAAAAATATGTCTTGTTTTCGCGAGTAAACATAAAATAATTAATTTAGTGCGGCAAATTTTCATAATAATACAAATAAAGTAATAGATTGTCGTGAAATTACTCTAGTTAATGACTATTGAAATTAGTGGAAACGTCGAGACTGTTATTATTTTCATCAACAACAATATTTTTCATATTAATATTTCGTTTATTTGTAAAAATTTGTCTTACTAAAGTAATTATTTTAGGAATAGTTTTGACGTTAGCATTTCGAAATAATCACATTCATTAAATTCAGATATTCACAAACGCAGCGACGAATTAAGATTAAAGTAATAGAAACGTTTTTGTCTATTAGCAGGACCGCAATAAAGTATGTTTTTTTTCACTGCTGTTTATCACGATATCGCTGTAAATTTATCTGTATTAGATTTAATATATTCAAGAATTGTGGAGTAGGAAATGGATTTAATGAACGACTTCGTTCGATACGTATTAAAATTCATGCACTCAACTTCAGTGCTTGAGTATCATCAGCAAGATTATAATGAATATTTATCAATAAAGTCTAATTGATAGCTACATTTGTATCAGTTTTCGATCTGTACGCGTTGTATATAATCAACAGGTTCAATCAACATTTTCTGAACTTGATTAACATTTGGAAAAGCAGTAGAATAAGTCGATTCATATAATGTGTGAGAATGGTAATTTATCGTGTTGATACTGACATGCACCACGTAGTAGTAGAATAGCAAAAAGAAAAGTTTAATCTTCTACAACAAGCTATTCTAGTATATTCATGTTCGTTCTTTTCAATAATTATAGTAAAAGATTTTATCTCAGTTTATATTGTAAGTGCCAATCAATAACATTCAACTGCAATATGACAATTTTATTTTTCTAATCAATATTTTCACATTTGAAATATGCCTTTGCTTATAAGTCGTCTTCTGTGTAGAAACAATAATTTACTTTCATACTTTTCTCAAATGTGAATAAAGAATTGTTAATTTATACAAAACATAATACTTCAGATTTTATTGTATTATTTCTCAAATAGCCAAAATTGTATCTTATACTCGTTGATTTTTATTATTATTTTCTATTTCGAATAGCTTTTACAGAATTAAATCGATAAAAAATAAAATATATTTTTCGGAAAAGCAGAATCCAGAAATGTTTATTGTATCGATGAGTTGTCACTACGACAATCATATTGAAAAAATATATCGAATATTATACAAATTAAAGTATCTCATTCATAACTAATCGATTGATTTCTTTTATTTTCGAAATATAATATTTATGAGAATTTGAGATATTTCATTAAAGTATAATGTATAAAAAGAGAAGGCATTTTTTAAGTATAGAAAAAACATTAGTAACAGGTATTTTGTAGTTAAAACAAATGAAAAAATGCCATTTTAGCAAGTTTTCATAAGAATGTTTATATTATCAAATCCATTATTGATAGCAATAGTAGCAGTTAAACTATTGTTGTCTATATCACCAACAGCAAATGCAAATGGATGTGAATTTAAGTCACTATAGAATACCGAGATGATTACACCTAAAAATATTACTGCTCTTTTGTATGAGCAGATTTCTGCATCATAAAACCTCCTTTAGAATAAAGTAATCGACACTCTCATCCATTTGAGATAAGATGAAAGCATTCGAGACTTATAAGTCATAATAAAAAAGATGCACTACTTTACACACACAACTTATTCTTCTGAGTTCTGAACATATTCAAGTACATTACAAAATGCATTCACTTTCATTTTTTTCTCATCAATATTTTTTACTGAATAATAATATTTATGAATCCGAATGATCATGATAAATATCAATCGAGCATTCTATATAATTCTCTATTGGCTACTCATATAATAAAGACATAACTAGTAAATAGAAGTCTTCATTATACCGTCTCATGAAAATCAAACTTAGTAAGTTGTATATTTTTTTAAATTATATTATAATATATATTTATCAAAGCATGCAAATTGAATAAAAAGTTATGTTAGGAATAATATTCGAAATAATGTTTATTAGATAAATAAGGTTAGTTTTCTTGATTATTATACGAATGAAAAGATTTGTGGTTTAAAAATAAGTCTTCTAATGTTAATTTAACGCCAAAGTTGTTTGTTTGGTTCATTTATACAATCACGCATATCAACTGTATGAGTACTTCCATCTTTAAAAATGAAAATAACTTCCTTGTCAACAGGAATATATTTACCACGATTAAATTCAAAGTATGGAGCTTCAGTAGGTTCCCCATGATCACCATCGAATCAACATTTATACTATAAAAATACAGATTAAGTAGAGTTCAACAGATATTGAATAATTAAAAATGAAGAAGATTAGATCGAAAGAATGTCTATTACAGGGCTCCGCGTGGGATGGAACGATCCCATCCATCCCATGGGACAAAAATTTTTTCATAGGATCTCATGGGATGGCATTCCTTTTAAAAATCTATCATCCCATTCCATGAGATACTATGAAAAACAATTATCCCATGGGACGATTTTTTACGTCCCATCCCATCCCACGCGGAGCCCTAGTCTAGTAGTTAACGAGAGATCTCATCTTTTAGCAATAGATAGATCTCAATGCGACCTGAAAAGGGTTCGCGCCTTCGCTTCTAAATAATGACTGTTTTACGAAATTTTTTATCTGCAACAAGTGAGATTAGAAAAATCCGAATGGCACCTCTTTGATTTGAAGTTTTATCTATCTATAAATAGATCTTATTATTAGTAGAATATTCTACAAGTCTCATCCTCAATTGATAATTTCTTCTTTGGATCTTTTTATATTTTAGATATGATATACATTGAATTGTTTATTTATAATTAAATGATTTTACATAAAATTTATTCAGAAATTGAAATATTTTTTCGACGAATTCAAATGTCAAAAGATCTTGCTGGTTTTAATCCTGAAATTTATTTTTTATTAAATCGTTTATGGATAATTCAAACATTAATTTGTATGTTTTATTGTATAAAAATAAAAAAATATTTACCATCAATAACAATTACAAATAATTCCAAACATATTTTTATTTCTCAATTTAATTATGTTTTATTAACATATACAATTTTATATTTTACAGAAATTCTTTATACTCATCTTATTATATTTCGATTTAATTCATTTATTCATCATACAATTGCAATAATTATATTTATTTTTACAATATTTAATCAAAATATAATTTGTGTTAGTTATTTAATACCTTATTTAATTCATTCACTTTATTGGTGTTTTCAAGTTCAATATGATTATCTTTTATATATTTATAATATTTCTCTTATTCTTGTTATATTTCTTATAATATGTTTTAGTAATTTAACAAAAAAGTTTAAGTTTCAAGTGACTATTATTGCTTTAGTTTTATTTCATTTTAATGTTTTTACACATTTTTATGATAATGATTTGAATCGTTTTGAAAAAGAAAAATTTTTTAAATTAATCAAATCATTGATTTTATCTTTTTTAGCAGCAACACCTTTTTATGTCTATTTAATTTATAATAATAAAAATTAATCACTTTTATAAATCATAAACTAATTTTATCTCTAACAAATAAATAAATAGACAATATTATCTTTTCAAGTTGTTCGATTAAGAACTATATATTCATTAGAAAGAGACTGAATATGAACACTGTATAAATGATAATGCTGTCCTATGTTGATAGTGAGATATTCATCATCTGCATTAGTATATACATATCTTTATATTAACCTTTCATCGATTTTATTAGACAAAAATATTACACACATCAACTGAAAATAACTCTAAAAGATTCATAATACACATATAAGTCATATTAGATATTAACTTATCTTAAAGAAGTTTCATTGATTAATTCAATAGATTAATTCTTAATATTAATGTCATACAATTACAATCATCTATTACAAAATACAATCAGCTTTATTCTTAGACAAACAATAAAAATATGCAAATAACTTAATAAAAAGAAACATTTAATTTCGTTTGCTAATCATAAGGAATAATTCATTTTGATCTATGTTTTGCAATCATGATTTTATTTAATATCTGAAGCGGAGAAAGAGATATTTCAATATCTTTTCTATTTGTTCGGAAAAATCACACATGTCTAAATGATTGTACAGATGTTATACTAAAAAAAAATGACATACAAGTGTAAATGTGTCAAACTAAAAATGAATACTCATACTCCTATCCACATCATCATAACTCTAGAAAAACTTTGTTTAAAAATAAATTTTGTGTTCAACTCACATTCACATTCTTAATCAGCATGAGTGAATGAGAACTCTCTCTTACAAGTATTCATTCATTTGTCGATTAAAATATAAACATATACTTTTATTCTGAACTTTTTTTTCATCAGTTGAAAATGAAAAAAGAAACAATCACAGCCGTTCGTTTTTAAAGAGAGAAACAAAAAAAAGAGAAAAGAATAAAAAAATGACTCGTTCTTTACTTTTTAAAAAAGATTGGTTGATTTTCAGAAATATTTCAATCAAGATTTACAAGGTAATTAGAACAAATTATCTCATTGAAGAAATATTTCTACACAATGTTATTAAGAAGATTAACAATATTCTATTCACGACATACTTATAATTCTACACTTATTTTTATCTTATTTATTTTATATTCTATAATTCTTTCAATCAAATATTATCCATCATTCAAAAACAATTCTATTTCATTAACACAATCTAATAATTCTATTCCATTACCAGTATTTTTTTCTTCACATTATTCTTTAAACAATCAAAATAAGCTATTTAATACTTTGTACAGTTCTTTTCAATGTTTAGGGTGTAGGTATTCTTCTGATTCATCATCAACATCCGCACCCGAGTATCTGTAAATGTAGATGTGAAGGTGGGCATTATTTTTCTAAGAAAATCACGTTTACTTTCTCAACGTAACTCAAAGAGTCAAAAATCTATCAGAAGTATTAAGACTCTTATATACTGATTGAAATTGAATATAATCAATTGTTTTAAAAATTATTTTAAGGCATTTCTCTTTATCTACTCTCATAAGTAAAGCAGTAATAACAAGGTTTTTATGTATCTATAAATATTCGAAAGATCCAGTATCAATATTTGAATTTTGTTTTTTATCACGTTATCTAATGATATCAGTTCTAATTTAAAAATGCAGAATAATGATCAACAATTAGAAATATGCCTATACAGGCTTATCACTAGATAATATTGAGAATGATATGATTTTAAAAACTAACAGTAAATGATATAGAGATTTTTCATCAATCATAATATATATATATATATTACATTTATTGAAAAAAACTACATAGTTTTAAACAATAATAAAACAGAAACGAAATAAAATGTTAATTAACGTGTTATTTTAAAAATGAACAAAGAAAATATCACTCAAACATTATAGTTTATCCACATTATTTACTGATTCAAAAAGGTGCAGTATTTGGAATTTCAATAAACATTAGTTCAAGTACAGTACTTAGGATTTTGTCGATTACTTTTTTTGCACCAACATACTTTTCTTCTTCAAATACTTCATATTCTGCACTTTGCGTTCTAATTTCATCGGGATCAAAATAGCGTCCTAAATAAACATATATTTATGTATTCAATTTTTTAGACTAAATATCCTTTACCTCTCATTGTTCCACGTGGTGCTTTAAAATATGAAGGATACATATAGGGATTATGGAATGGCATATAACCTCCATAGCTGTTGTAGCTGTTGAATGGATAATAGGAGTTCATTGGTATGTTGTGTGTAGAAGAATATGTTACACTAAAATGAATAGTTAACATATATTTTTTCTCGTCTTATATACTACATGTAGAATGATAAATAGTGTAAAAAGTCAAACATTTAATTAACAAAGATAAAATCTCACTTTATTGAATATTTGTCTAGAAATTCATAGAAAGTTATTTATAGGAATATATATATATATAACTCATATATTTCAAAAGTCAGACATATCACAAGATACCATCACTAATTATTGTTTTCACTTATATTATTTAATGAAGGGAAGTAGGGCAAAACAAGTTTTGTTTATGTACACAAATAATTAAAGGCGAGACAATTTTAAAATGATAATTGTAAGTTTTTATTAAATTGTCATGCCGTTCTGCTTGATGATATTTTAGTTTGTTTTTATCGTTTAATATGCGTTCTGTTATGTTGATTAATATCATAAAACAACAACGATTGTATATAGAAAATCGAGAATGTCTAGACGTATAGTTTTTTATGCATTTAATTGATAGCTTAAATGCACCGTTCATGATGGAAAATGCCCTATGCAAACTTGTATGGTATGAAATGAGCCATAATAATTGTGACGTCTAGTATTTTGCTAATATCTCAGGACTAACAAGTCATTTCATCTTGATTTTTCTTTCAAAAAAAAGTGCCAATGAAAAATTCTGTGAAATTAACTTTATAATATTTTGATAAAGTGAAGAACAGGACACTGTGTAATGATGAAATACTACTATCATATATGTTTTTCAAAATAATTCAAATAAAACAACATAATTCATATAATTTTTTTTCATGTTTCTTCTATTTCTTTCTTCAAATCTTCTCACGTTTTCACTTTGTGATAATTGTTAGTTTTTTTATTGATATTATAACCTAGATAGAATAATTTAATGGACTCAAATCCAATAAGTCAGAAGTACACCGATCTTTAGATATAAATAATCTGAAATTTTCTTTGCACCATTTTTTATAACTTCTATGAGTATATGCTGCTGCTGTATCATATTTTAAACACCAGTTCTTATGACTGTATAATCAGTTGTCTACAATCTGATAGAACATTAACTAGTTTTCACAGTATATTTGTTCATTCAATAATATAAATTTCCAATATGCATCGAACACGAGCTAACTGATCGATATATGTTCATCTATCAGATAATTGTGAACGTTGCTTTTATCTCAAATATTCTGCTTGTATTGATGTTATATGTACCTCATCTAAAGTAGGAGAAAGTGTAAATAAAGATAGTAAATCGATTACAGTGTCGGATCTGGGATTTTAGAACGGAGGAACGATTTTTTTTTGAGCATGGAAGGGCGATACCTGGGGAGGAGGGGGGCGATTCTGGCTAAAATCTATTTTTTGAGTCTAATCAAAGTAGTGTGAACCTATTTTTTCGTTCATTTTTGCTGTAAAAAATCAAAAAAATTCGAAAGGGGGGGGCGGGGGGTGGGGCGATCACCCCCATTGCCCCCCTAAATCCGCCACTGGTCGATTAATTGCTCACATCTATCCATTCACTTATATTCATTCCTTCAAAATTACCAATAATAAATTGTGTCGTATTTATAAATTTTATTCACATTCAAATTCAATATAAAATCAAAATTTAAATGAAAACTTTATCAACACAATTCGTTTTAAATATATATACTTCATTGTCTAAAAACCCTAATAATTCCGTAAAAAAACGAAATAAATAGTTTTTATCCTATATATATGATATTCTCATATTAGAATGATAGATATTTTAAAAAATTGCACATTTTTACAAGCAGTTGATTTGTTTAAAAGTAAATGAAATAAAGTTGTTGTTAATACTGTAAAGAAGCTCTGATAATTGCTCTATCAATAAGTGGAAATAATTTCTCTGTTTTAAGTATTATATCTGCATTGTTTCTTACATCTACAAAATCATCTTTTTTCAGAGAAGAATCTAATTGAAAATCATCATCTGATTCTACTGGATAATGAAGAACATTTAGATGTGATTGATAATCCCAATAAACAGCTTCCATACGTTCAGCACGATAACCATTTTTTTCTGGTTGTGCAAATCCAGATACAATTAATGTCGATTTTCTTGGAAGAAACGAAAACAAGAGAGATATTCCTCCACAAGGTGATATAACAATCGTTATTGTTTGAAATAATTTTAATTGATCAGCAATAGTCATACTGACAAAATTATCTAAAATTGTAAGTTTAATACCTGAATACTGAGGTGCTGTCTGAATTTTTGTGTAGATTTCATTTAAATTTTGAAATTTTCTTCTACCATCTTTCTTCACAATTACAATATGATGATGTTGTGGAGTTAAATCTGGATTAATACCATGTATACGTAATAGATCTGAGCGAAATTCATCAAAAATAGGTGCTCGATGAAGATTTTTTGGATAATAACCAATTGCACCAGACAGACCTTGTCCAGCAATTAATTGACGAAAACAAATTCTTTTAGATGAATGTAATAATGAATCAATGGAAAGAATTCGATGTGATGTAACTACAGGAAAAATACCTTCTGTAAATTTATAACATAAATCTTGTAAAGCTTCATTAAAACGATAACATGTTTCATAGGCAACTACATAGTTTTGATTAGGTGAATTAAAACGTGTTGATCGAAATTGTTTTAAATTCGAATATAAACCAAATACATCATCAAATATAAAATGACCCAAATTCATATCTTGATGCGCTAATAACTGATAAATTAAATAAGTATTATCAAGATATGTCACATTTCGATTGAATTCAGATAGATTTAAATCATTTATGGGATTTAGTTTCATTCGAGCCACAATTAAATTCTCACGATGATGAATACGAGATCCATGACGTAATGATAAAAGTTTATTACTGATATTTCTAATAATTGTGGATTTTAATGATTCTATTGATGAAGGATAAAAATAATCAATAAAATAATTCTCATTGAATCCATCTTTTCTTAAACAAACATTATGAAACATACAAACTCTTTCATGCCAAAGATTGTCAGTATTTAAATCACTTGGATTACCATTTAAACATTGAAAAGAACTGTATAAAGTATTAAATAGATTATTTTGATTATTTAAAGAATAATGTGAAGAGAAAGACAATGGTAATGCAATATAATTCTTGGATTGTGTTAATGAAATAGAATTGATTTTGAATGATGGATGATATTTGATTGAAAGAATTGTGAAATATAAAATAAATATGATAGAGATAAATATAGAAAGATAAGTATGTCGTGAATAGAATATTGTTAATCTTCTTAATAACATTGTGTAGAAATATTTCTTGAATGATAACTATATTTAATGAAGATATTCTAATTGCAATAGGTAAGATACTTTTGAATAAATTCCATAGAACTACCCATTATAAAAGAACTAAAAAGTACATTTAAATATATATTATAGATCATAAAATAAGATTGTATCAATTAATATAAATTAGACTAATAAAATAGTGGTATTCTTTTATTACCAATGATTTGGCGGATATTCAATATAAAATAACATTTAGAATATGTTCGAATGCAATACTTTAGTAATTCCAATGAAATCTATAAAATCTCGAAAAATCGATATAATGGTCTAAATGTTTGGTTCATATTATATTTTCTTTTCTTCTTCATCAGATTTAGAGATAAATTCAATAATAAAATTTCGTCCTAATTACCTTGTAAATCTTGGTTGAAATATTTCTAAACATCGACCGACCTTTTTTAAAAAAGAAAAGAACGAGTTATTTTTTTGAGGTATTTTTTTTTTCTTTTCCATCCCTACTGCATTAAATTCTTTTCTCTTTTTTTTTGTCTTTCTCTCTTTAAAAACGAATGGCTGTGATTGTTTCTTTTTTCATTTTCAACTGATGAAAAAAAAGTTCAGAATAAAAGTACATGTTTGTATTTTAATCGACAGATGGATGAATACTTGTAAGAGAGAGTTCTTTTTCACTCATGCAGATTAAGAATGTGAATGTGAGTTGGACATAAAATTTATTTATAAACAAAGTTTTTCTAGAGTTATGATGATGTGGATAGGAGTATGAATATTCATTTTTCGTTTAATACATTTACACTTGTATGTCATTTTTTTTGAGTATAACATCTGTACAATCATTTAGACATGTGTGATTTTTACGAACAAATAGAAAAGATATTGAAATATCTCTTTCTCCGATTGAGATGTAGAATAAAATCATGATTGCAAAACTTCGATAGAAATCAATTGTTACTTATGATTAGCAAACGAAATTACATGTTTCTTTTTATAAAGTTATTTGCATATTTTTATTGTTTGCCTAAGAATAAAGTTGATTGTATTTTGTAATAGATGATTGTAGTTGTATGATATCAATATTAAGAATAATTCTATTGAATGATGACAATAATGTAACAGATCTTAACAAAATTAATATAAAAGAATAAATTTGAAATAGTTTTATTATTAGTTCTTATATATAATGTGTTCTATTAATTGTGCATTTGTTACTTGTATTTATTCAGTGGTATATACAATTGTAGTTCATTATTCTTGCATTACAGTATTATTATTTTATTTTTACTACTGACGATGGCACTTGATGTGCTGAAAGCTCTAGTTTTGGTTATATATAAGAACTAATAATAAAACTATTTGAAATTTATTATTTTATATTCTATTGAATTAATCACTAATATTTGTTGGAGATAGGGTTAATATCTAATATGACTTATATGTCTATTGTGAATCTTTTAGAGTTATTTTCATTTGATATTTGTACTATTTTTGTCTAAAAAACTGATATAAAAGAGTAAAATATTTCTAGTAAATTTGGTTTTTCATCATCATTTCGTAGATATAATGATTTAACTTGTTCAACAATATATGGAAGATGTCGTTAACATATAGGATGAAATTTTTATTTAGATATTGATCGAAAATGTATTGAAAGAAGTGTGTCAAGACGAAAATTAAGACTCTAATAAGCACAAAATAATTCCATATCATCAAGATATTTAAATGATTTAAGTAAAATTTGATTAGATAACCATTCGAACTTTGTCCTCAATTTCAATACAAAGAATTATTTTTCGTGTTTTAATATGTAACAAAGAAAAAACGAGAGCATGTACATTTACAATGTTTTTCTCCTTCTGTTGACTATACTTGAGCAGTGAGAAAGTTATTGTTTTTCTTTTGGATAATTATTTTCAATAGTGCATTTCGTTTTGAGGGTGTGGATGTGTGGGTGTGGGTGTGGGTATGGGTGCCAAAGTAAGATTAATGTAACACCCACACCCACACTCACACCCTTACTGCAACGTAATTAGTAGAAAAGATCGATGCAATCAAATGGATCATAAAAAATCATCTCAAAATCTTTGATTGATTTCAATACTAATAATACAGTTAAAAAAATAATAACTGAGTTTTTCGATTACTGGATGTATATACAGTAGTATTGGTAGTGATTGATGAACAGAGTACTAAACAATTAGCTAATATGTCGTTTTGATCGAACATGTTTTTATGTAACCAATAATACTTTCTTTTACTCTTATATGTTTTATTTAACTGTATCCAATGTATTTAAAGCGCTGGAAACAATGAATAAACATCATGATGAAATAACGATGGATAAAGAAAACATGTTTGTTATATTATAGTTAAAGTTAAATAAGTTCGAACATTTTAATTCGATGACTATTTCTTTCAGAAACGAACAAATACGTTTCTTCTTCGTTCAAAGCGACAGCGTTTGGCATGTTAAGTAGAAGGCTGCTTGTGCCTGATATACCATCTGGACTACCAGCAATCGTGACTCCTTGAGAATCACCAACAATCCATTTTTGAATCCGATTGTTGTTTTGATCAGCTATATAGATCGCACCTGTCTTTTTTGATACATATACGCCGATTGGACCAAATAATTGACTAGAAAAGATGTGTTAAAAACTTAGAAACACTTTTTTTTATCAAATACTTACTTTCTCTGTGTTCCCGGTCCGTTTCCTCCTGCTACTACAATCCCATTTAATGAACCGATGCTATATCGAACAATTCGATGATTGTTAAAATCGGCTACAAACATATATCCTAGCTTTTCATCCACAAAGACATCTGATGGACTGTTAAGAGAGAACGTATCATTACCAGGTACACCCGTTTGACCAGCGATTACGGTTGCGTTTGAAGTGTTCCATAACCAGAGAAGAATTCGGTGATTAAACTGGTCAGCTATGTAAAAAGATTGGTTTGAACTCAAATAGCAACCAGATGGATTCCTCAATTGATCCAGATTGGAGCCCGAAGAACCGAATAGAGTGACACTACTGGTTGAATTCGACCAACGCATTACGCGACCTGCCCCTGCGTCGAGAACGTATATATTCTGAGAAACAGCAGTATCAAAAATTGCCCTGGATGGAAAAATAGACGACCCTCCACCACCCGCAACGATCGTACCAGTGCTTGAATTCGGATACACTAGCAGAACTCTGTAGTTGACAGCATCAGCAATTAAGATCGAATTATCGACGTTTATTGTTATTCCCCAAGGCATATTAAGCGACGAACTTGAATTGCCTGCACTTCCGTTCAGACTTCCAAAAATGATCTGACCCACCTGTAGTGAGCTCGCTGCAAAAAGAAAACATCTTAATCTTAACGATAGATTCATCAATAATCTCTTATCCTCGTAGGGCTTAGAAACAAAAAAAAGATGAGGTTTTATTTTGAAAAAAATTTAGGAAAAGATAATTTTTTATAGGATTTTACTCTAATTTTAATATCACATTGAAAAACGTTTTATGAAGCTATTTATAGATAGACCATATCAAAAGATGTTTTATTTCTGTTTTATGTTGAGACAAAAATACTTATATTCTCTACTTTTTGAAGAAGAGTACCATCAGACTATCAATAAAATTTTCACTTTCGAAACTAGGATTCTTCTATGAGAGCAAAATTATCTAACTTACGTCCACATTGAAAGAATTGAAGACAAATATAATTACGATCAATTCGACATTGATTCGAATCAGAACATTGTCCACCACGTAAATTTTGTGAAGCGCAAATCGAACCTGTCCAATAGGTACGAGGAAGACAACGGCATGTTGAATTGACACAAGTAAGATAACGACTATCAAGACAAGCGCTACATGAATTACCATAGGCAGTGAAGAGTTCAGGATAAAGTTCAATTTCGCCTACAGTTGATGTTGAAGAATTCGAGATGATAAGAGAGCCAGTTGTTTGAAGATTACCTTCAAATAGACGGCATCGATGAGAGACAGAGTCATAATCAAAAACGCGGCAAAAATAGTTCGAATGGCATGCATATTGGCATTCTTTGATTTTCGAGCAAAAATAAGTGCCAAGTATAAGACTACTCTCATCAACTGGAGCATATTCAGTACCCTGTCCACTGATAGCCCATGTAAACATGAAACGCAGAATAGACGCGTATAATCGCGTTTCTTATTGAAAAACGCAGTGAGACGCGGTTAAAACTGAATTTTCCTGCGTTTAGACGCGTATGTATGAACAAACGGATACAAACACAAAAAGAAAATAATTTCAATTTGCGTCTAGACGCGATCGTGTATATCATCGCTTTTAGACGCAGCTCAAAGAAGTTTTCAATGCGTCCGAACGCGAGGGTCAACAAAACCGCGTTTACAAGCGGTTGATAAAGTTTTTGGAATGCGTTTGCACGCAGTCGCATATGTTAACGCGTAGGTTTGCAAGTATAGAAAATCGTCGAACGCGTCTGGACGCGGTATTAACTTAAACTGCGTTTACAAGCGGTTGATAAAGTCTGTTGAAATGCGTTTACACGCAATCGCATACTTGAACGCGTCTATACGCAGTTATACAAAATATCCAAACGCATCTGAACGCGATCTTGTATAGAAGCGCACCTCGACGCAATTATATGCATTTTTCGAACGCGGTTGAACGCGATCGTTAGTTAAAGTGCGTTTGTACGCGATCAATGAGACTTATTCAAACGCATCTCAACGCGATTTCGCATTAAATTATATCCCTACTGCAATACGAATAATAAGAAAAGTTTATTCTACAGTTTTAGCAAGCGTAGATATCATAAAATTATAAAAAGTCATACAATCTGATTTTTTATATAGTTGAATTTAGTAAGAACTAAAAGAAATTATTAGTTTAAATATTTAGTACTACATGCACGTAAGGCAAAAACTCTTATGAAGATATGAACTAGCTTGTCTAAAAGCTTTATGTATGTGAATGTATCGAATGTAAAAGTTATTTTATTAGCAACTAACATAAATAGACTAGATTTATAGTTATTCTGAAGCAACCTACTCACTTCTTCTTTATTATAATAATTATATTAGAATATACTTTGATCAAAATCATCATTCAAATATGAATATCTTTGTTCAAATACAGACGAACAAAGAAAAAAACAGAATTAAAAATATCAAAAAAATACACATGTTTCTGTTAGCTTTGAGACAAAAACATTTATAGAAGACTATTAATTATATTCGATAGCATCTAAAGTTTCACAAAATTACAAAATATCCTTCTTTATAAGCGTACAGATATATCTATCAAAACAGATTTTGGTGGAATAGAAAAAAATACTGTGCGTATCGAAATTTCGAATATTTATTATTCTGTATCTGGCAAAAAACGTAAAATACTAACAATTATTTTCAAATAGCGAATCTATAAACAATATTGAATGTTCCTATCATCAATTATTATTCCTATCATCAATTATTATGAATAAATAAATATCAATCTCTTCATATATTATTCTTCGATTTTGATCAAACTTTGTCGAAATAATCCCTAAATATCTAATTTAAGTGACGGATTTCAATTTTAAGCATATAGAAAAATTGTTCCTGATATTTACATTAGATGACAAAAAGGAAATAGAAAAAAAAGAAGTATATTATTTCATAAAATATGATATTCAAATAATAAATTTTGATATATTGGCGCCATTTAGAGTTGTATAAAAATTTGCTTTATAGAAAAAAAATACAACGAAAATGGTTTGAACAAAACAAAATTTTAAAAATTTGAG